CCTAACCCCCCCAAGCCATGGAGGGGCACCGTAAAACCACAACGGCCCTAAAATTGGGGCCTGATTTGAAGAGCAACGCCAGGGATTGACGCTGCCCGGGGAGGAGAGCGAGGGCTCGTCTTGCACAGCCCTTTCCCAGTTGCTGGGGGAAACTGGGCCATACTGGGACGCCCGTACTGGGAAGGCCGTACCTCGGTCGTAGTCCCTGCTGCGGTCATCGTAGCGGTCCCGGCCCCCGAAGCCGCGGTCCATGTCCCGGCGGGGGCCGTCGCGGTACCCGTCGCGATAGCGGTCGTCGTAGCGATCCCGAAACCCTGAGAGGGGGGGAGATGGGGGTGAGGGGTGCAGGTTTTACCCCAAACCCCCATGTGATGAGGGTTTTCCTGCGCTCGTTAGCGTACGAGTGACAAATCCCTTAACGAAGCAGGGAAATCCCTTCCCTGAGAGGTGGCGCTGACCCCTTCACCCTTACAATAAATTTGGGGGAACGGGCACTAGATCAGCAGTTGATCCCTGATGGAGCAGAACGAAGCCCGATTGGATGTGGAGAGAACGCCAATTTTGGGGGCAAAACAACAGAAAGAAACATCCCCATGGGAAAACGCAGCAGATTTGGCTCCGGGCTACGGATGAAGGGGAGGCAGCCACCAAATTCTGCAGGAAAATGCCATTTTTTGGGGTAAACTCACTGTCCCCGAAGCTGTCGTCGCCCCGGCGGGGGGGGTAATCGTCGAAGCTGTCGGTGGTGGCGGGACGGGCCCTCCAGTCGCTCTCGAACATCTCCGAGTCGCGGAAGCGATCCCGGTCTCTGCCGAAGCAGCGATCGTCCCGATCTGCCGGGGGATTAAAGGAGAGGCCGCTTCGTTAAGCCAATTAGCGCCAGAGGGATGAGGTGGCATCGTTACAGAAATGTCCTGGCCAGGAAGGGGTCGGAGGTGGAGATCTGGGGGGTCCTGGGGGGGGTTTTGTGCCCCTCGATGTGAGGGGAGACCCTCACCTTTATCCTGAGCTTGATCGGCAACGTCCACTCGTATCCTTCTGTTTCCTAGAGACTGCAAACACACACAGAGTCACAGAGTCATCACAGAATCAATCACAGAATCACAGAATGGCTCGGTTGG